ACCATGTACGAGAAGACAACCCGCGGGATCTGATGCTGGGGATGCGGATCCGGCACGGGGTGGCCCAAATCCGGCACAGGGTGATGCTGTCGTTCGTCCAGAGCGCGGCGGGATTGCTGGGGTAGCGCCAGGGGAGGAGCACAGGTAGCGGTTGATAATGGAGGGGGTCGGGACAGGTCGGCGGAGGTAGGATGGAGGGGCTAGTAGGGTGTGGTGGCTCGGGTCCCCGGCGATGCGTCGGCAGGGATTGAGGCAGGACCAAAGGAGGAAGAAGGGGACAGAGAGTGAGGGGACGGGGAGTGGGTGGTCGATCAGGGCCTCGTGGGTTTCCTCCTGACCGGTCTGATTTAATCGGACGACACAACGGTTTTCACCTGGGAAGCGCGCGGCCGCGAGATGAGAATCGGACGGCGCTTGAGCGCGTTTGCTCTGTAAGACAAACGAGCCAGCGCCCTCTTTATAGGTTTTGGGTTTTTCTTGTTCTGAGTACTCAGCACACACACGTGTCTTCATGGGACCGGTAGAAAAAACGGCCCAAACAAAACAAAAAATCAGAAGGCTGTTAGTTAGACACTCCCTTCTTCTTATTGGAAATATGAGCAAATTACTACGAGATTTAATTCGAATAAACAGAAGATAAATCATGACCACAGCAGCAGAGATTAAACTAATCATGCGAACTAGCATAACAGATGAACATATCACATTTAGGGCACATACTAGAAGCATGAATTCTACCACGATCTCGAACAGGAAGGATAGAATCACATACGGTGCAGCGGGTGCAGCACCGCCGGCGTTGACATTGTCGCCCATGTCGTCGAGGACGAGGTTGCCGAGGTCGGGGAAGAAGTCGTCGTTCGCGAAGTCATCGCTGCCAGCAGTCGCGCGAGTGCGCTCCCCAAAAACCTGATCGCCCCTCTCCCGTACAGGATCATGAGAGGCGGGGTTCCGGAGGCCTGCTGTCCATTCTCGCGGTGCACGCCGGAAGGAGGGATGGAGAAGACTTGCTTGGTGGCGCAATGATCTGGAACGGTGGTGAGAAACCATACGAAGCGGCGGTGGCTAGGGTAGATGTCTGCCTGACTATATAGTGCGGGCCGGGTAGGTCGTGGGAGTAAATCCCACGTCTGAGTCATCACGATCGCGTCCGTTAATTATTAATTAATGACTCATTAATTTTCCCATGCAGCAAAAATATAGACAACGTGCATAGCTCTGCCCTCGGCTCGGCTCAATCCCGCAACCCGCGGCGCGTCGTGACGTGGCGAGGCGAGCGAGGAGAAGGAGCGCGCGTGTAGGTCTCCTCTTCTCATGCTCATACAAGTGGTAGAAGAGCTCACCTTATAAAGAGGTGCAACTCTCTCTCAACTTCCGGGGTGGGACTAAACTTTAGCCTCACTCACTCCACTCACATGTGTGCATGAATGGGCCAAGAAAATTTCAGAATTTTAGTTGGGCTTTGGGCCAAAGGCCTACTAGCAAAATTCCAACAATCCCCCACAAAGTCTCATTGACACATCTCATCATTTAGTTCCAAAACGTTGTTTTATATATCGGTGCTTAGTGGAGACTGTAAAGTTGAACTTCCACTTAGAAATTTATGCTACACTAGATCACAACTTGAATAATGGACTATGCCTTGAACTACAAGTTTTCTGTGAAACTAGTTTCACACAAATTCTTGACCGATACTGGGTTGCCGCAAGGCTTCCCCGCGGATGGAGCGTATACGTCATACTCCAGGGCCTTTCATAAATTTATTAGAGAACACCCAATTCTCATAGACTGCGACGTTAACAGTCAAATTCATATAGGTGTGTTCCTCAGAAGATATTCTGCAGGACAACATCTCTGCTTACCCGAATAAGCCACTTGGAACACATTAAGATAAGTATCAACCTGCCATGCAGATCAGGAGAGTATTGCATCTTCACGGAGTGGGATAATTAATATAGGGATACTCTCCTCCCAGCTGACCAACAGCTTGTCTCCCACTTCTACTTGATCTCCGATCACATAGAGTGGGTTACCACTATGGACAACTCGTGCGGTGGGTCTCAAACCCATCTCCATCGATGCATTATCTATCACATTACGTGATAGACCCTTTGTGAAGGGATCTGCCAAGTTTTTCGACGTTTGGATATAATCCAACGTAATAACTCCGGAGTTCCTCAATTTTCTGACAGATTTTAGTCTCCTCTTCACATGCCTTGAGAACTTCATATTGTCCTTAGAACTGTTTATCTTGACGATCACAGTTTGATTATCACAGTTCATCAGGATAGGGGGTATTGGTTTTTCAACCATAGGTAAGTCCATCAAGAGTTCACGAAGCCACTCTACTTCACCAGTGGCAGTGTCTAATGCTGTGAGTTCTGCTTCCATAGTTGACCTCGTTAAGATGGTCTGCTTGCAAGACTTCCAGGAAACAGCGCCACCACCAAGTGTAAAAACATAACCACTTGTGGCCTTAATCTCATCAGCATCAGATATCCACTTTGAGTCACTATAACCCTCCAGTACCCTTGGATACCCGGTGTAGTGAATCCCATAGCTCGCGGTGCCTTTCAAATAGCGCATAACTCTCTCAAGCGCATGCCAATGATCATCTCCCGATTTTGACACAAACCGACTCAGCTTGCTCACAGCAAAAGAGATGTCAGGCCTCGTGGCACTCGCCAAATACATAAGCGAGCCAATAATCTTAGAATACCTCAGTTGATCTCTAGCAATCCGTCGATTCTTTCGAAGCAACACACTAGCATCATATGGAGTTGGAGAAGGCGTGCAGTCGCTATACCCAAAACGACTCAAGACCTTTTCCACATAATGAGACTGAAGCAGTGTGATCCCACCATTCTCATCTCTCAATAGCTTGATGTTTAAGATAACATCAGCTACTCCTAGATCCTTCATCTCAAAACAGCGAGATAAGAAATCATTAACCTCCTTGATTAAATCAAGTTTGGTTCCAAAGATCAATATGTCGTCGACATACAGACAAAGAATAACTCCTTCGCCCCCACCATAGCGATAGTACACGCACTTGTCACCATCGTTTACTACAAAGCTGGCAGCAGTTAATGTTCTTTGGAACTTCTCATGCCACTCCTTAGGAGCTTGTTTAAGGCCATATAAAGACTTTAATAACTTGCACACCTTTCCTTCCTGACCAGGTACTACAAAACCACCTGGCTGATCCATGTAAATTTCCTCCTTCAACTCTCCATTGAGGAAAGCCGTCTTAACGTCCATTTGATGAACGAGAAGACCATGTGAGGCAGCCAGTGATAGTAGCACCCGAATTATGGTCAGTCTAGCCACGGGTGAGTAAGTATCAAAGAAGTCTTCACCTTGTTTCTGGGTATAACCCTTCGCCACAAGCCATGCCTTGTACTTTTCAATCGTACCATCAGGTCTAAACTTCTTCTTGAACACCCACTTACATCCTACAGGTTTGCACCCATAAGGACGGTCAGTGATCTCCCAGGTACCGTTAGCTAAGATGGAATCCATCTCGCTACGTACAGCTTCCTTCCAGTAGTCAGCATCAGGAGATGCATAGGCTTCTGAAATAGTCCTGGGTGTGTCATCCACGAGGTACACAATGAAATCATCACCAAAAGACTTTGCAGTCCTCTGTCTCTTACTCCTCACCCACTTTTTAGGTTTTGGGTTTTTGTTATTCTGAGTACTCAGCACACACACGTGTCTTCATGGGACCGGTAGAAAAAACGGCCCAAACAAAACAAAAAATCAGAAGGCTGTTAGTTAGACACTCCCTTTTTCTTGTTGGAAATATGAGCAAATTACTACGAGATTTAATCCTAATAAACAGAGGATAAATCATGACCACAGCAACAGAGATTAAACTAATCATGCGAACTAGCATAGCAGATGAACATATCACATCCAGGGCACATACTAGAAGCATGAATTCTACCACGATCTCGAACAGGAATGATAGAATCACATACGGTGCAGCGGGTGCAGCACCGCCGGCGTTGACGTTGTCGCCCATGTCGTCGAGGACGAGGTTGCCGAGGTCGGGGAAGAAGTCGTCGTTGCCAGCAGTCGCGCGAGTGCACTCCCCAAAACCTGATCGCCCCTCTCCCGTACAGGATCACGAGAGGCGGGTTCCGGAGGCCTGTTGTCCCTTCTCGCGATGCAGGCCGGAAGGAGGGATGGAGAAGACTTGCTTGGCGGCGCAATGATCTGGAACGGTGGTGAGAAACCATACGAAGCGGCGGCGGCTAGGGTAGATGTCTGCCTAACTATATAGTGCGGGCCGGGTAGGTCGTGGGAGTAAACCCCACGTCCGAGTCGTCACGATCCAAAAGAATCGGAAACGGTTCAGTAATTAACGCGCCTGTTAATTATTAATTAATGACTCATTAATTTTCCCATGCAGCAAAAATATAGACAACGTGCATAGCTCTGTCCTCGGCTCGGCTCAATCCCACAACCCGCGGCGCGGCGCGGCGGGACGTGGCGAGGCGAGCGAGGAGGTGGAGCGCGCGTGTAGGTCTCCTCTTCTCATGCTCATACAAGTGGTAGAAGAGTTCACCTTATAAAGAGGTGCAACTCTCTCTCAACTTTCAGGGTGGGACTAAATTTTAGCCTCACTCACTCCACTCACATGTGTGCATGAATGGGCCAAGAGAATTTCAGAATTTTAGTTGGGCTTTGGGCCAAAAGCCTACTAGCAAAATTCCAACACTTCTATCCAAAGTTGACGAATCCATTTGCAAGCAAAAGCTCAACCAAAGTTTTGGCAACCAATTTTTTGATAGGGTAATCCTAGGCACAAACCAAATGGACCCTGCCTCTATATGTCGATTCTCAAGTGGTGGGCTCCAATAGTAGCTAAAAAGGAGAAGAAACTGATCAAGTGATCCCAACCTAAAAACAAGTGATCGACTTCCATGAACAGATGTCTCGCTCTTCCAAAACGAAAAAAAAAATGAAGCACCGCCGGCAGTAGCAGTAGCAGCTCAATCGTTGTGCTCGATGATCTTGCATTGTTTAGGCGGGAAGTTGTCCTTCGACAGGAGCGACTCGACGAGCCGCTGCAGCCGCGCAGCTCCTGGGCCAGAATGCAGGAGTGTCGTGTCCCCGATGGCCGAGCAATGATCATCGCTGCCGCCTCCACCAACATTTCTTGTGCACCAGCCGCCTGGGATGACCATGCCGGGCTGCCGTGACAGGAGTTCCACGTCAATCTTAGCGAGCACAGGGTCGTTAGGGTCTCGGTTGAACTTGCGCGCGAAGGGGGCGTCACTGCGGAGCATCCTACCCCAGTGAGTGGCGTTGATGAGCTCCGGATGCTGCCCCAGGGGCTCGCCCCAGGAGATGTAGTGCATGTCGTGGTTCACGGTGGTGTTCCGAAACTCGTCCGCGTTGCAGGCCACAGTCTGGAAGTAACCCTCCGGGGAGGAGACAAAGTTGCCGTAGTAGAGGAGGAGGGTGCGCGGGAGGTTGTCCCACCCCCCGATCAGGTACTCCACGAAGGGCCGCGACAACACCGTCCAAGCAGAACCTGGTTATTATCAAACAAAACTATCAACAACTACAATAATACTACATAGATATATAATATAAAAATATATTTTATAGACTTCGTTATATTTCAGTCGATGCTAATATTCCTTTGATCTTGGAGGGAGATTCGCATAATTTTTTCCATTTTTCTTCTCATATACTATATCACTTGACTGAGACTTGACTAAGTCTCAGTCTATAAAGACCTAACCACACTCTTTATTTAATAATACTAATTTGATATTTGTGGTTGTTGATAAATTTTTCCAAACTTTGTATGGTTTGATTTGGGACAAAATTTATATGGATTCAATTCAAATAGAAAGGGAGTAGTATACTAGCTCGAGTCTTGGCTCCGCCAGGGCACCATGCTAGTTGGTCTATACCTACTATTAAAAGAAATTGGTATTCTTGGTTTGGTTTAGTCCTTTTTTTTGTTTGAGTGCACGCTAATGTTTCGTAATGTTGGCTCGTACACAGACTAAGCGATCTAGGCCAGGTACTTGTACATTGATGGGCCTTTTATGGGCTTTCGTACAGACCGCGAAAAATAATTGGGTCAAAATAAATGAACATTGTGGGAATTGATCACATGACCTCCTGTCTGGATCTTCGACGTAACAACCAACGACCAATGTGCCATTCACATTTACTAATCCCAACTCGCTCTGGCCAGGTACTTGTACGTTGATGGGCCTTTTATGGACTTTCATAAAGACTGCGAAAAATAATTGGGTCAAAATAAATGAACATTGTGGTAATTGATCACATGACCTCCTATGTGGATCTTCGTTGAAATAACCAACGACCTATGCGCCATTCACATTTACTAATCCCAACTCGCTGGCCAGGTATTTGTACGTTGATTGGCCTTTTATGGGCTTCCATAGAGACCGTGAAAAATAATGGGGTCGAAATAAATGAACATTGTGGGAGTTGATCACATGACCTCCTGTCTGGATCTTCGATTTAACAACAAACAACCTATGCGCCATTCACATTTACTAATCCCAACTCGCTTTAAATATACGAGTGGCAGTCCTTGTGTTTAGGTCGAGCTAATTAAGTGAATGAGCTAATTAAAGGATGGACTGTGGGCTTAAATATAATATTTAAACGGATGTGGCTAATTAAGAAAAGTATTATGCGTAAACCGGTGGAATAATTAAAAGAAAGATTGTGGTCTTAAAAATAGAATATTCAAATAGATGAGCCTAATTAAAGGAAGGACTTGAGGTAAAAATGTAGAATAATTAAAAAGAAAGATCTGTAGACTTCAATGTGTTGGGGCTACTAAATTAGAAAAGGAAGGATTTGATTCCTGACTAAAACGGGTGAGGACGGCATGGTAATTAAAGAAAAAGATTATACTTAAATGGAATTAGTGAGAGATTATACCCGGTAAAGAAAATATAACACGGCCAAATTGCATCGTATTGTTTTATGTTCATTTTATAGAAGAATGATGCGTTGCAACGCATGGACATATGTGCTAATAGTACACTAACTAATTTTGGATTCGCAGAGGGAGAAGTGCCGTCCATCTTCCCACTACGAGGCACGAGCAGATTAGTTGGAGGCCGGCTCCTGAAAAATGATACTAACAGCCGGCTACTCTAACGACCTTTGTCCGTAGGTACTCGATCGTGCATATAATAATGAGATGGTGCTTTGCTTAGGCGTCGCACAGACGACGTGGCCTGCGACGCATCTGCACGTATGCGAACGTGTGTGCTTTCAACTGAGATCTTTATTGCATTGACCTAATGAGATGGTGCTGGCTGACCACGAACTTTTATTCCCTTTTTTAAAAAGAAGAAGGACATGCCGTCCTCTTGGATAGATTAATTGATCATGCATGAGCAAGCATTGAAGTTCATGAGCAATTAGGAGCTTGGATCAGCCAAGGACATGAAGGATGGATGATCATGCAACCGCAGCAGCGTACATGAATGATACTCTACATACCGGTGAAGAGCGTGAAGGCGGTGGGCAGCTCCCGCTTCTCGGTCTCGGTGTTCATCCACATGAGATCGCGCTTCGTCTTCAGGTACAGCCCCGGGTCGACCACCAACGGCTTCGCCCTCGCATGCCTGCCATGGCAACAACGTCCGTCAATGCTACAGCACTCAGCCGTTCACGTCAATGCTACCTTAACGATCGAGAACACGTACGCTTTCCAGCCCATGTCGCTCGTGTGCTCGATGAAGTTCAGGTCGCGCGGCAGCCGCGAGAACACGTCCATCAGATCTGAAGCGGTTGACAATGCCATGGTGAACGAGATCGTCAGCAGTAGAATTCAGCAGGAATGGAAACAGTCGTGTATTGCGCCATGGGCCCATTGCCATGCAATGTAAGGCAGGCCAATGGAGATGGATATGTATGCACTGACCGTCCTGCGTAACGAGCGGGTAGTCGGAGGCGGAGAGGTTGATGAACCAGTCCCAGTCGGCGGGGCCGGGGCCATGCAGGAAGGCGGCGGCGGCGTGCAGCGTGGTGGTGACCATGGTGATGCCCCTGTAGGTAACCAGGTTGGCCTTCTCGACCACGCGCACGTTGCCGGCCGCGGCGAGGACCGGGTGCGCGGCCACGAAGGCCGCCAGCTCCGCGCGGTCTGAGTCGGGCGCCTCCGCGTCCAGGTGGAGGATGTAGCGGTTCCGCGGGTGGTAGAGCGCGAGCAGGCAGCGGCGCAGCCTTGCCGCGTCGCCCTTCGAGCCGGAGACGAGGTAGGCGAAGCGCGGTGGCGACGGCCGCTGGGTGGCCGCGGAGTACCGCTGGAGGAAGAGTGAGGCGGAGGGGAGCGCGGCCTGGGACGCCGCGAGGAGGAACACCGTGAAGATGCCCCCGAAGACGACGGAGAGCAGGACCCGCAGGTCGATGCCGGCCCAGGAGGAGGAGCGGCCGCGCGGCGAGGAGGTTGGGGTGCCGATGTCGATGTCCATGGTGGCAAAGCATGGCTGCGACTCGGCAGGCTGGTGTTTGATGGGCGACAGACCGGCGGCAACCATGGCGGCAAAGCACGCAGGATACGTTGTGACCGGTGAGCTGCCAGAAATTTAGTTTTGTAGCTGCTGGATGTGCAACGAACAAAGCAAACCACCGGCGGACTTGTGCCTCGCTCGGTCGTCGGATAAAATATCATATCCAGCTGAGGACTTGACCCCACGGAATGAATGAGAGCTTAATTAGAAATCTGAGATGAGCGTTGATCGGACATGCAATCATGGGCAGTGGCACGTCGAGATAGACACGTCGGTGTCGGTGGCTCGGTCGTTGTACGTGGTCAGGAAGATCCGGGTCACTACGGAACAATGTACCTTAGCAACAATTTACCCAGGTTCAGGTCCTCACCCCCTTGCGGCGGGTGATAGGCATGCTTCTTCTTTTCTTGGATTATATTTTGTGTTATAGAGTATAATTGCAAAAATATGGAAGATAAGATTGATAAAACTCGTAGTAGTTGGCAGGGGAGAGGCTCCTGATCATTAGTGGAAGACTTATACTTATTAATCTTGTTTATCTCATATCCCAAAATTTACGATGTACTTTTATGGCCTCTGCGTTGGAGTGAAACAAAATGGATTTCTTTACAGCTGAAGATGTTATGGCAAAAAGATGTAGACGAACGAAAGATATCACGTAGTTAAGTGGCCAGTTCTATGTGTGTGTTGCGGCTTCTCT